TCTGGTAACAAAGCAGTATTTACATCTCATCCAACATTTTATCAAACTAATACAAATGGAAGGTTAGATGGGAATTTACAGCTGATTAATTTTTCATCAGTCAGTGTCTTTTCCTTACCAGAAACAGCTGAATCTAACTGAAATTGCCATGACTCCAGCCTGCTCCATTTCAAGTCTGCAGTATTTTCTGCTTCTTCCAGTAAGTGCTATCAAATGAAAAGTCTGATAAAGGGAAGGACAAGGAATGAGAAAGTTGGCTTAGTCTCTATTGTGGGAACTGGAAATTTCTCAGGTACCCAACTATTCAATAAATGCTTTGAAAATGTACAGTGTTTAGCTGCAGTTACAAGGGGCTAAAGGATTTATCATTCACTGTATGGCCAAAGTACAGAATCTTGTCAGAGTCCAATACTCTCTGACCAGGTTCTTTTACATATTCCCTGTGTGGAGAGTTTAGTAGCAAAGTTAGTTATTTGAAGATATTTGATGCTACATGGGACTTCTGATTTAGCAGAGTGATACAAAATATACTGAAAACACAAAACATGTTCTAGCAAAATATAGCCATTGCAATACGCAGTTTGATCTCGACACTCGTGGGATTCCCGTTGTTTGTCTCAATAACATGCTCGCTGTCACATCGCTGGGCAGCCCTGGTCACCAGGAAGGAATATGTGGGTTGAAGGGAGCTCAAGCCTGTTGCTCTCTTTGAAATTCTGTTGTTAGCTTAGGTTTTTATACTCTGTGTCAGGCTGAACCACATATTCGCTCCCTCAGTCGGATCTAGCTAACTTGGGGAGAAGCATTTACACCATCAGTTGACCCACTCAGCTCTGACAAGCCTTTATCTAAAACAAAGACCACCCGCACCAAGGTCCCCTTTGTGCTGAGATAAAGTCAGCTTTGCGACAGCTGTGGTGGGTCACAGCCTGCGTTGTTCCCGGAGCTCCATGGGTGCATTGCCCTTGCCCATCTTCTCTAGGCCTTCTTCCATTCTAGGAACTCATCGGTCAATCACAAAGCTCTTTGGGATGAAAAATAGTGGTGGAGTGGCTGCAGAACAGATGGTTTCATTGTAGTGTAATAAGAAGGCAGATATTTGCCACCTTAACAGATGTTACAAATGCTTTACCTTCCTCCATTTTGCCTCAGGTTTGCTCCTCCTCCTTCCTCACCCTCCCTATGATGTCTTGTTACTTAACTGGGAAGGTGAGCTGCACATCCTGCAGTTGCTCATGTAACACCCCATCATTGCTTTAACATTAGCAGCTGGAAAAAGAGTATATTTTTTCCTCCCTACCTGTCCCCCACTATCCCCCGACACCGAATTCATAAGTAGAATATGGGAATAATCTAACATTAGACAGGGAAAAGCTCTTGGGGGGGGGGGTACCATAAAGAATAATGTTGCATTAGCTCTTGGAAGCTATTTATATAATGCAGTTGACATTTTCCTCTTTCAGAAAGTAGTAGTTTGGTTACTTTTCTTCTTCGGAGCTGCGAGTAGCAATCCTCTAGTTACTTAATATGTTGTTAAATCAGTAGTCTGAAAAACAGGGAAATCAAAATAATTGCTTTTTTCAATACAAGCTGGTAACAGAGAAGTGCTAAGGAGCTATGAACTGTGAAACTCCTCTCTTCCAATAAAACTGTCTTTGTTCCAAAGTAAGCTATGCACCCAAAATTAAGCCGTTTGACACCTGTTTTGTTTTTTTCCAGATTAGAGAACAGGTAGTGTTAAAACAAGCAGTACAGTAAGTTTTAATGCTTGTTGTCAGACTTATGTAAGAGCATATTTAAATAATGAATAGTTCTCTGCCACAGTGTGCAGTGTAATCTTTGCTCAAATACTAGGTTAGATCTAAGGAAGAAATTTTTTACGATGAGGGTGGTGAGGCACTGGACCAGGTTGCCCAGAGAAGCTGTGGCTGCCCCATCCCTGGAAGTGTTCAAGGCCAGGTTGGATGAGGCTTTGGGCAACCGGGTGTAGTGGAGGGTGTTCCAGTGCCTCACCACCCTCAAGGTAAAAAGTTTCTTCCTTAGCTCTAATGGAAATCTGCCCTCTTTCAGTTCAAAGCCATCACCCCTTGTCCTGTAACTACACGCCCTTGTCCAAAGCTCCTCTCCAGCTTTCCTGTAGCCCTCTTCAGGCACTGGAAGGCTGCTGGAACATCACCCCAGAGCCTTCTCTTCTCCAGGCTGAACAGCCCCAACTCTCTCAGCCTGTCTCCATAGGATCAGCACAGTGTCTCTTTATAAACATTAGACATTAGGCAGGGATTCATGATCCTTGTTCTCTGGGCACATTGTTCTCTAGGCTTTTTTAATTAGTTGTTATTTTAAGGATTATCACTTAAAAACCTCTGTAGAATCCTGGGATTCTTTCTTTGTGGAAGCCTTGACAGAAGACTCCCTTAATTTCCTTGGAAAGGGGAGCGTGGAAAGGGAAAGTGTAGAATCTTACAGTTTTCTAAGTGATGATAAAAGTTTTGCATCATACTTTAGCCAATTAATTTTCGTTAGCCTATATCCTGTCGTTTAAAACTGAAAGTCACCACAAATCGTGACTTGCTTAGTCCACATTTTTAAAAGGCTCACGTCCGTGTTCACCACCAGAGGTCATCGCTGCTTTTCTGACTAATTTGCAACTTGTTTTCTCCTCTGTAAAGAACGCAGATGCGAAGAAATTATGCGTGCATGCTGGTTGAAACCAAAGCAGTAACTGTATACCTTTAGGTGGTCTCTCTTAGTGCCTATGTGAAGGTGGCCATCAATTAATGCTGAAAAATAGTGTTTTGATTCCTCCGGGTTATTTTGAAGATATGTAAGGTTTATTTTTAAATTTAACATTTTTTTATCGAGACTCCACTGAAAAACGTTTGCTAAATCCTGCAAGCTCAAGAGCAGAATCTCGCAGATACGGCGCCTTCCTTAGATGAGAATTTTCTGTACCTTGTTTCCTTCTGAAGGGCGTAACACAAAACGTAAACTGAAGAAGCAGAAAGAAGGGCAAAAATAGGTACAAGAAGATTCACTGAAGTCAGTGCAGCAACACCTAAAAATAACGAAATCAGCAGTTTCTGGTTTAGTTTTCCATTTGTTATTCTACTGGCAGCTAACTTGAAAAGTCTTTGCTCACAAAAACATTCAGTGAGAAAACAACAATAAACTTGAAACTGAAATGTCAGAAGTAAATATATTTGGAGAGAAGTTGTATAGATACGTTGCTAATGCTGCTGCTTCTTTCTTTTCTTCCTTCTATCCTGTGAAAATTTTTAGCTACAGTATAAATCAGGTGGATCCTTCCAAGTCCTGATAGCACAGGGGTACCTCCCTACAGCTCTGCTGCATCTCGCACCGTTCTTCTCTGGTTCTCCACCACCTCACAGTGGGTATCCATGCTGGATGAACGTGCTTGGCATTTGTCCTGTCGTTTTAAAGAAACACCATTGCTGTAGGACATGGCAGTCTCACAGCTTTTCATTTTTCATGTTTGATTGTGCCACATCTTACCTGGCTCTACCCTCACGAGAAAGTGCCTCTGTTCTTTATTTGCAGAAGGGATTTCAGGAAAGTTTGCACTTACCTTTCCAGGTGATTCTGGAATATTTTACCAAAAGGAAAAGAAGAGTCCTAAATATATTTAAAGTGACATGGGAAGGGGCATCTTTATTAGACTCTGTCATTCTGAGGAAGTTTTTTATTTCTGAGAGTGTTTTGGTTTATATCAGCTTAATTTTGCCTTCTAGTAGATGAGTGGCATCACTAATATAATTAAAAATCATGTAAGATTAAATAGATAGAACTTGTCAAGGTATTAAGTATTTTCCTTTGTTTTTCAAATCCAGTTCATGTATAGCAGATGATGTGGGTATTACTACATTTTGTGTAATTTTGTAGGTGCTGAAAACAGCAACATAGCACCGATCCCTCTGTGACAAGAAAAACGTACAAATTGCTTGAAACTTTTGTAAGTATAGTTTTATTGCCTTTCAAAATTCAAACAGCTAGTTATTAAGATATATACAACTTCTTATCTGCTTACCTAGTATATTTGGACAAGTGGTCTGAAAATTCCAAGATAAACTGCTCTGGGAATGTCCTAGATTTTTTTTTTTTTTTAGAATAGAGCAACATTTATAGAGGTAAAAAATGCTTGTATATACGAAAAAGTTATTGCTTATTTGCAGCAGAAGACAGTTTGACTCTTTCCTTCACCTCTTCTTCATAATTGTTTTGAGAGAGACAGTAAATTTAAGAGGTTTTTCTGTGATACATTTGGGATTATCATCTGCAACTTTTTCAACTCAGCATGGTACTGGGAGATCCTGATGCATTTCTCAGCAGGAGTTTAGTTTCCTGTTGGCTCTGAACTCTTCCAGAGTCTTTTGTCTTTTCCACTGGAGCCGCTGTATTTAACTTCCCTTGCTATATAGGAAAGGCAAACTGGAGGGACCTTGAGGACTTCACATTGAGGACTGCTCAATGACTGTGGCACCTCAGCCTTTCCTTATGGCTGTAGTTTTTAGGAGAAGCTCTGTGCTAACTCTGAGAAATCTTCCCCATTGAAACCAGCATGCAAATCCCCAGCATATCATCTTTCGTGGAAGAAAATGGAATACAGATCATGTTCGAACCCTCAGTGCCTTTTTGTATGGTGTAGGAAAGATTCAGAAATATTCTCATGTCTGTGTGCTGCCCTGATCTTACTGTTCCCCCAGGCAGTGGTCCGTACTTAGCAGAGTTAGCTTTGTTATAAGGATGAGGGTTTAAATTAATAAATGATTTCTGGCTAAAGAGCTCACAGTTAATTACTGCAGAATCACGGTCTGGCTCCAAAATAGAAAGCAAAGGCTCAGCATGTGACCGTTCATTCTGCCTTCCCAGCAAGGCTCCCGTCAGCAGCAGGCAGCAGCTGTGGATAAAAATAGAAAGTGATAAGCGACCAGGATCTTTAGTTAAACGCAGAAGTCGCTCTCCTCGAGGAGTCCAGAGCGACAATGAAGTCTCTCCGCTTCATTAGCGCGGAAGTGCTCGTGTCGAACGCCGAGCTGGCCAGGAGGAGTCTCGGCAGTGTCGCCCATAATCTTTTTCCTCTTCTTTTTAAAGCCAGCTATTTGCTGGAGCGAGGGGAGGTGATTCATGACTTGGTAGAGAACTGGCCGCTTGCTGATTTTAACATGGGAGAACTTCTGGGAACTACCGTGGACTACCAGGAAGACCTGAGCCGTAGAACATGCTCAGTGTGCTTGGAAAGCTGTCTGACAGGGCTGAGGGACTACGTGCTCCACCATCCTTCTCCCTACATGAAAAGGTTGAAGGTGGTTGACCTGACGGGCATAAAAGACGTTGAAGTGCAGTTTTGTGAGTGTAAGAAGACAATGGGCAGGTGGGCCAGGACGCAGCTGCTCTCGAAGCTTTGTTTAGAACTGCTGGCTTACCTGCAGCAAACAGAGCGCAATCCAGGTGCCTTCGGAATCAGCATTGACGTGCTGATCGACTTGTTTGTTACGGAGCGGAACTATGAGCTGGTGGTGCAGGCCCTGCTGAAGAAATGCTGCTGCCCACTGAAGATCTGCTGCGTGGCGTTCAGATCCGACAACCTGGCTTTGCAGAAATTCTTCTACATCATAAAGCTCACCGATCCCTCTTTGTTGCGCAAACTGGAAATCGTTCACAACGTTCGCTTGGAAATGGAACACTTGGAAATACTCTTCAATAGTATCCGCTTCCCTCTATTGATGTCCTTGACCTTGCCGGCGCGAACGTTTAACGTGCGGAGGTTCACGGCGGCAGATGAACGGATGCTCGCCAACGTTGGCGCAAAGATGGGCGAAATGACACAGCTGACTGAGCTGAGCGTGCCGTTCTCCGTACTCACGGGAAGAATACAGAAACTGCTCAGGTAACGTGGTCATCCTGCTCTCAGTCACACTGTAACCAACAGCCCTTTGTGCCGTCGGCAGGCTGGGAATCTGGGAAGTGGAGCGTATCTCGGGGCGTGTGTGAGAAGGGGCAGCGGGAAGCTAAGAGAGAGGATTTGTTGGGGGGAACTGGAAGCCAATGTGTGTCTAAGACACTTTTTTATGTCTAAAAAAGAACTGACTGCTCTTTTTAGACTTCCAGAGCCCATCTGATTACAAGGAGAATACATTTTTGGCTACCACATAAGAGAAGGGCGCACCCCAGACATTTTTGATTTGCCACGTTCTTGAGCTTATATCTCAATCGGCTTGGGCTGGCCTTTGTGCAAGGCCCAAGTCATATTCCAAGTATTTTTTAGGGCCTCTAGTGAATTTTTTTTTTTATCCTGTAAAAAACGGTCAGTAAACATACTAAGATTCCACAGATGCTGTATTTTTAGATGGAAAGGAGGATAATAGACTTCCATTTGAGACTTTGATTTCAGCTGTTTGTTGTGGCTGTCAGTCTCAAGACAAGAGAGATATGATGTTTTTCTGTACTGCAAACTAAGCGAATATATGAATATTCATAATGAATTCCCGCGAAAAATTGGCAATTCTGAAAGAGATAACAAGCTGCCTGCGAACAGTGTTCATATTTGAACAGAAAACAAGTTAATGGTGTGCTTTTAAGAGGTCACCTCAGTCTAAAATTCCTCCTGTAGAAAGAAGTAATTTCATTTGAGAGTTGTGAATGGCACACTACTTATAGTGATAGAAATAAATTATAAATTTCTAACCTTGATCCAGCTTTCCAGTCTGTGGAAGAAGTTTCACTAAGATTTAGTATGAATGAAAGGGAGCTCTTGATTTTCATGTGTCAGAACTATCGTATATTCAACCAGAATATTTGCACATAATCTCAGATACACTTGTTCTAACCTTCTCGTTCATCAGAAGGTCTCTTTGCAACTCCAGAACAATACGTGTAAACCTCTTGGACATTTAAAAACATAGTAGAAACAAAACCAGAAACAAAAGCAGGTTTCTTGTTAGAATACTGATCGGCTTTCATCTTGGCATGAATCCTTTCTTAATGGAAATGATCTAAATCTCTGGAATTGTAACAGCTTTCTACAAGAAGCAGTCACCAATGCTTTTATGGTAGTAATGAGCTGCTATTAATTCAGCAAGTACTAGATACCTGATAACATGTAACCGGTTACAAAATAGACACATCGGATGTTACCAAATTAATCCCCATTAAAACGGCACAGTTGGGAGTCATGTAAAGTAGGAGCTAATTCATGGAACTGATTTCAAGAGGAAAATACAGTTGTCATTGTTGGCACATGCTTCTGCTTCTCAAAAGAGGTTAGAAAAAATAATGGCTGTGGCAGATGGCTGCATTCATTACGCGGATAGTTGTATGAAATCTTGTAAACGTGGCTTTTTAATGTTTTATGCCACAAAACCTTTTTTCTCTTTAATTCTGCAGCCCACTAAAAACTCCGCTGAAGGTGCTGGATGTTTCTAACTGCTTGTTGAACCATGATGATATGGCCTATTTAGCCAACAGCTTCCATGCTCATCACTTGGAAGCCCTGGACCTGAGTGGTCACAATATAACCGACCTTTACCCATCAACATTCTTTAAGCTTCTCAGCCATTCCTCTTCAGCGCTAAGGAGTCTAACCTTGGAGGACTGTAACATCCAAGACACTCATGTCAACATGTTGATTTTGGGTTTAAGCCCTTGTCAGAAACTAGAGGAGTTCAAGTTTCTCGGAAATCCACTGTCATCCCAAGCACTTAAACATCTTTTCACATTTCTCTGTGAGTTGCCAATGCTGAAAAATGTGGAGTTCCCAGTTCCAAGGGACTGCTACCCTATTGGCATCACCTACCCGATAGATGATGCAAGTGTCTGCAGATTTGATCACCAAAAATACCAAAGTGTAGCAGAGGAGCTTAACCTCATTTTACTCCAAGCAAACAGGGAGGATGTGAAGGCTTCAACTCCACTCTTTGGCAGCTACGACGCAGCTGTTCAGGAGACAAACAATGAACTGGGAGCTTACTTGATCAAGTCCTTCAAAGAGACTCTGGAAAAGTTCACTACTTCTCTCAACAACATGAGTTAAAGGTGTGACATAGTGGTGATGAGATGCTCTGTCAAACCAGGAGTTAATTTAGTCTTTTCCAGAACCTTCACTGATGGGTCTTGAGTTTTCCTTAATTTCTCGGCTGTTCCAATAGCCTCTGATCATCTGAGGTATTTTAACTACACTCTATCTATTACATACACCTCACATAAGCACGACTTGCTCTTAAAAGAAGGGAGGGCCCTTAATAGCTTATTTTTTTGCACAAAAGCACTTTGTGTCTCAGTAAAACAGCAGGTGTCTTAAGCTTGGCTGACTTCTTACACAGTTTCCTCTGGATTTGGGAGCAAGGCTTGTAACTCCACAGAAAAGACAGGAAAGTCTTTTCCCAACTCCAGCAGGACATCTCAAAGATCATGCCTATCCTCACCTACAGCTCCCTAAACCAATTTTTGGTTTTGCCCTTGGCCTTCCAAATTCACCAGTCTGTTTTATCCAGTACATTCGGAATAATGGGGGATACATAACAGCCTCCATGTCCCTGTGCCTCTCTTTTCTGCAGAGGCAAGCCTGATGACCTCCTTTTGGACAGGGAATTACAGAGTTTGTCTAACACCTTGTGCTGCTGAGGAGCAAAATTCTGCACTGAGGAGGCAGCAAACCAATGGCTTGACAACGGGGGCTTTCCCTCCGCTTCCCCCAGCAATATAAAGCAGCCTACAAGGACTCTGCTTGAAGCTCTTGCAAAATTTATTTTTACAAAAGCACAACGAGGACATCACAGCCATGTTTGTGCTGTCATCAGGTAAGTGCCTCAACCTGCTCCCTTTTTTGAATCAGCTTCTTGACTGGTAGAATGTTACCCAGCTGCCTTCAGCTGTTTTAAAGAACGTCTAGGACAGTGATAGTAAAGCAGAAAGGACTAACATTGAAAACACGTGAAGGAAAATGAACCCAGAGACACTTTCAAAACGTGGAAAAGGGAGAAGATAGATGGCTGAGTAACTAGAAGGTCATCTGCACAAAAAACTGCTCTTGTCGATCAAGGCTGTGGATTATTCTGCTACAGAACTGCAACCAGTGCCTGGAAGATATGACATTTGGCGAGCTCCAGTGCAAGAAATGCATTTGAGTGGCAAACAGAATCCCAGACCCCACACTGAATTCACTCACGTCCTGCTCCGCGTTTGGCTGAGGCATCTCATGCTGAGGCCAGATGGGTGCTGGGGGCAGCTCCGCAGGGTCACGACAGAGCACCACGTAGGCAGCACAGGTGGCCAGAGAGTGCCCACGGGCCACCGTGCAGCCATCGCCTCCTGCAAAGCTGCTGTCTCCTGCAGAAATGATCTTGTCTCTGGCACTGTTGTCAGAATCCACCAACTGATGGACATCGTACAGACCAGCCATCGGAGGTGGAAGGTAGAAAATGCCAGTTTATCCTGAGAGCTTTGGAAGTGGATCCAACAGCAGGTGGACTCCTGCAGCTTCGGTGTGTCCCCAGGGTCCCTCTGAGTGCCTGTACATAAACCTCACCCTAACCCAAAGCCTAAACTGACACCTACACCCTGTGGCCTACAGGTGCCTTCCGGGGAGCAGTGTGCTCACCCCGCAGGGGTGCTCCAGCAGCAAGAGCCACCGGAGCTTCGCAGGTCATCCCATGGCTTTGGCTTTGTCTTCCATCTGTTACTGTGCATCAAACTACAGGGAGCAGTAACGGCCACTTTGGTTTGCTTTGCCTGGGAGAGGTGTTACAGCAGCACTGGCCTTCAGCCTCATCAAGTGTTCCAGTCCCACATCACTGCCGTCCCACGCTCTGAGCAACAGAGGTGTAGACTGTACTATAAAAGCAGAGTTTAAACATGTTTAAATAAAACCTTTCTTTTTAGAGTAAAACAATCTTACAACACCCAATGAATGCTTTAGGTCTTAAGTAACATTTACAGAACTAAACAGTGTCCGAAAAGGGGCAGAATTCTGACAGCAGCAAAAAGTTTCTCTTGAGCACCTACACTAAGTTGTTCAACGATTTCTAGTGAAAAACACTTCAGAGATCATTTGGTTCAGAAAAGCAGATTTTTATTTTCAACAGCAGCACATACATACGACATTTTCAAAATATACATATTCGACGACAAGAGACCGCACTTCATTAACCAGTTTGCTGCGGTGTTATCAGTTGTTACGGTTCCATTCGCAACCCGGTGGAGTTACAGCATCACAGCCTTCCTGTGAGGTGGGAGGAGTTGGATGCTCTCAGGTTTCACTGGTGTAATTGTGCAACATACTATAACTGCTGGTAGCTCATGGAGAAAAAAACAATCAAACAAACAGACAACTTATCAATTTACTGTCACCTGGAGGCTTCAGCTACCTGATTAAGTACTTTAAATAGAGAAATATTATTTAAAACAAGTGTGGCAAATCATGAACTTCAGGGAAACACTTGATGCACACAATATACAAATTGGAGTGGTTGTATACATTTCTGAATGAAGTTTCCTGAGACAGGACTAATCCCAACAGAAGCAACATAGCAGCATTTCGGTCAGGGAGGAAGCCAACTTCTCCTAAAACCTTTCCCTTTTATTTAGATGCAGAGCAAAGATCAAAATAATCAGAAGTTGCTTACGTTTCCATACATTTAAAAAACCCCAATGGATTACCATTTCTTTCTTGTTTCACCACAGTTTACCAAGTGTCAGAATGTGCTACATATAAATATCCTAATCCATCCACCATCTATTAATTCACTACAGAAATATTTTCTACATAAATCTATCTTCTTAAAATATAATTTAAATATAACTTTAATAGAAAAACCAGATCACATCATCAGAAGATTCATCTTGCGGGTAATCTTCAACGCACTAGAACTTTTAATGAAGCTGCTCAAGTTATGGCAAGTAACTTTGTTTTCTCTTTCGGTGGGAGTGGGAGGGGAAGAGGGCGCAGTTTGAGCAAAATGTGCAAACAGGTTAAGAATAAATGGTGATCACTTCGCGTCCACTGCCTCGGACCAGGAGAACTCTATCCAGACCTTCTGTCAGAACTTCCAAAAACTCCATGTCTGAAATACCATTATGTCAAGGAATTTATTCAGTAAAGAAAGAAAACAGCCTCTAATCTCTCAAAGAGACTAACACATAATGCAAAAATTAAGTTCAATTTCATCAGGGAGTTTTCCAGTGTCACCCTTCACTGTCCCATCATGTAATCCACCTGCTTGCTCAAGGGGAAGCAAGGCCTAATTTGGGGAAAATCTCTACATCTGCCCTACTCACCCACAGGAAAGATAAAAATTTTTCAAACAAGTTCAAAGTTAAGGAATGCTTTACATCAATAAAAAAACCCACCAGTATCAACATTTCTTAAAACTCTGTGGAATCCAAAGTTGTTTTCTTAAAGGCAAACTTATGCTCACCAGTTACTACTGGTTACCCCAATGAGTAGAAAATGGCACAATCACAAAACCCAAACTCTCACTTTCAAGGAATACAACAGCAATACAACAGAGGATACAGTTTTCGTCTCCTTTTCTGTTTTTCGGAGGTCCAGGCATATTCAGGAGAACCAGCTGGGCGTGCTGGGATTTATTAAGCACTACTCCGTTGAGCTTCACAGCGGTGTGCATTCTTCTCACGTTCGACTGGTTGCTGGCATGCAACAAAAATCATTAAGTATCGTCACAATACTTATGTATTTGAATGACGTGTTACGTCTTTGAATTTCTAGATTTAATCTGCATGCACACAGAAGAAGCTATTTTCATGGACACCCGTATTTCTACACATTCAAAATAAATTCGAGGAAATGCAATAGCTAGGTTTAAAATACGTTTTTCTTCTTTGAAAAGAACATTTAACTCTTGAAATTCAAGCAATTCTAAGCAGATTGCCAAAATGCACAAGTCTTCCAATTGCCTGCCATCTTTTACAAAGACGAAGCAAAAACTTAATTTCAGCACAAATTCGTTTCAATAGAAAATTAGTCAAAACCCACTGAGAATCCAGTTTACTAAAGTATATTAAAAAAGTAACTGTATTTGTACAAGAAATTCCAAACAAAGGAATTACAGGAATGCAATAGAAATATTACGCTGTTTATGCTGTACAGTGCGCGATTTCCCTCATGCTCCTTTGGAAACATTACAAGATTACTATGAGCCTGGTGAAGAAAATTCAGAAACAGCACAGAATTTATGAAATAATTACTAGTTGCTCTTAAGAGTAAGGCAGTAAGCAATGAACTGAAATTGAGCCTCTCCCCTTACGTTTTAAATATTAATTAATGCTTTGCTCGTTGCACCCACGATATAATTGTTGTAAGTCTGTCAGAAGGAAGGCACTGCTAGGGCTTGGGAGATCACCTTATTTTGGGATCTACCTTGGATGATCTAGTTGCTCTTCAGAACAAAACAAAAGAGCAGTGACCTTACAGTTCCTGAGAAACTGCCATCGGTGTAAAACCAGCGGAGACTGGCGACGAGTCACATACCGCAGTGCCACAGGAACACCCAAGACCCGCCCCCCATGGCCGTTTCGCTGAAAGAAAGGGTATTCCACCCAAAAGTGTGTTCTTTACAAGCGAGTCGCTTCCAAGGGAACCTCGGGAACACAGGGGGACGGCACATCAAGAGCAGAGATGATGTGCTGTATGAGACACCTCCAACACTCCACCCCTGCAGTCCTGAGTGCAGTCCCAGCGCAGGTGGGCTCACGGGGCCTGAAGGGTAGTGGCCCATAGGGACCAGCTCCACCGATTTCAATCGATTCTCTTTTCCCACCCTGTCCCCTCTGCGTTTTCCCCCAAGACAATGACATTTCCAAACTGAGTTTTTCAGTCCCTCCTGGGGGATCTTCTGTCACAGCAGCCATCTGCCTTAAGATCCCCCACAATAACGATATGTGGAACAAAAGAATACTTGAAGCTCACTTCTTCAGAAGGAGAACAGCAGCATGAGAAGACTAAAGAACAGCTATGAAGGGAGAGGCAGGAGTGTATGATTGGAAAGGTGTGTAAGTGTTGAAGTAGAAACATCA